ATGAAACCAAACTGATAATGATACCCATGTACAACTGTCCAAGCACACACTTGTTGTTTTGTTTCAGAATTAAGCATTTTCATTTTATAGATGCTTTTCATCTGCGTTATAATGCTGAAGCATTGGTTGTTTTCACTTTCTAGAGTACATGAAAGTGAAGTGGATTTGATGTGCCTTATTCAGAACATAATTGGTCGATTAGCTACTCAATAGGTTTCATTGAAAAATATATGAGCCACCACTATCTGGGACCCGCTGCAACATTTATGTTATTTAGTTAGAAATTTTCAATAACATTTAACATGTGCAGCATGTTGTCAACATGTTGTATTAGACGATGTTGCAAATAATTATTTCGTTTGCGCAATCTAAGATTCTATAGGGCAAGTTACATCTTATGTAGAGAGATCTTTCTGAGTTTCATGTTATACTTAATCGCTCTGCTACAACAACTTATGCAAATGGCCAGGGAATATTTTGCTATCTATGCAGAAACTTGTTTTGCAAGTTTTGGTGACAGAGTGAAGCATTGGATAACAATCAATGAACCCCTTCAAACGTCTGTAAATGGCTATTGTGCTGGGATATTTGCACCTGGACGACATCAGAAAGAATCTGTTGAACCATTCTTGGCTGCGCATTACCAAATTTTGTCTCATGCAGCTGCTGTCGACGTGTATCGGAGGAAATTTAAGGTATTTACTTACATATTTCTCTTCTCTGCAATTGTTTATCATATTTCTTTCTTAATGTATTGTAGACTTGTAGTTATTGCTGAGAACTATATCCTTTGTTCATCAACAGTCTCCAATCAATTAGTTTTCTTAAACCACAAAAGCCATTTCTTGAGGAATGAAAAATTGTACATGTTGAGGTTTTGTTTGCTTATAAATTTTTCTCTCAAAAATACTGGTTTGCTAGAAAGTTGGGAGCACGCGTGAATACTGAATTTGGACACTCTTATATTGTAATTTAATTTTATTAACTCATGTGATTTTCTGAATTTCGGTTTTTTTTTTACATTTCTTTCTCTATTAAAGGCTGCACAAGGTGGTGAAATTGGATTGGTGGTGGACTGCGAATGGGCGGAAGCATTTTCCAATAAATTGGAAGATAAGCTTGCTGCTCAGAGGCGTCTGGATTTTCAGCTTGGATGGTAACATTTTCTTGACATTTTTATCATCATTTGAATATTAATATCGCTCTCGCTCTCTCTTATGTGAGCAAGTAAGGATTTCAACATGTATACACACATAAGGGTTTCAGTGTGTATACACTTGTGTTTAAGGATGTCAGGGAACACAGGAGGAGGAAATAGAGGTCAGGCAACTTGCAGGAAACGTGCAAAAAACACTTCATGGCAACTGGATCAATTATGCTTTCGGCAATACATCTCCATCAATGATCTCCTTCCATAGAAAGTAAATGTGTAATAAGTTAAACAACATAGAGATACCTACGCAGATAGTAAGTGATGGCGAAATACCAGGGTTTTTAAAAGCGTGGTAAACGTGGCCACATGATGAGCATGATAGAGATCTCTGAGTTGTATCATTTTACAGAGTTTTGTTTTAGGGTACAAAATCAAAATGAATGGTTCAGATTGCCCAAAAACGGATCATTTTGTAGCTATAAGCCATCCCTCCCAGCTTCCTGAGATTTGACCTCAACTCTCATTTTCCATCTCTCTCTCTATATGTGTGCATGTATGCATATGGACTTGGCTCTTTTCGGCAAGGAGATGAGAGGTTTTTTCTACTTGATGCATAATTGGACAATAAAATTTAAAAATCTACTGCATTCAGCTTGGACAACATCATTTAGGGTGGCTTAAATGGTGTAAGTTTTTTTGCCTATGCCTCAAATGGGTAAATAATAGATGACCGGAATAGATAATTGGTTTAGTTTGGTGGTTTAACTTTGACCTAACAAAAATTGATAAGTTCTTTTAATTGTGTTTACGTCATGATCCTACTTTTGGATCAGGAATATGTACACCCTAAATAAATTGAAAAATATGCTACATTTAGCTTTCTATTACATTTAATATATAGCTAAGAGAATGAAAGCCATTTTTTTGACGTTATATGTTGTATATCAATTTTCATGGTGTAGTTTCTATTTGAGTAGTTTATTATTGAGTTTTCATTAAAAGGGCGCAACTGCAAATCCTCCCTGATGGAGCCAAGTTTTCTCTGTATGTATGTAGTCACAGCCCTAATAGCGTACATATCCAGTGGCTAAATTATTTTAAGGCTTCTTTTGTGCATCTTTATTACAAATAAATTTTCTTGAAGGTATTTGGATCCTATATTCTATGGAGACTACCCAGCATCTATGCGGGAACGACTAGGAGATCGACTTCCCACATTTTCCGAGGGAGAGAAGAAACTATTGAGGAATTCACTTGATTTTATCGGCTTGAATCATTATACTTCAAGATTTATTGCACATTTACCTAAGCCTGCGGGTGACTATTTCTATCAAGTACAGGAGGCAGAGAGGATAGGTATTCACATACCTCAATCAGTTTTCTATTCAGAGGCAGCATGTAGCATACTTTGAACGTCTGTGATTTTCAACAGTCCTAATTTCTGAAAAACAAAGTACTTTTCTTTGACATGCACATAATATGTTACATTTATTTGCATTGCTTTTACGGAGAGGATCTTAGTTAAGAAAGTTCAATTTATAGTTTACTGTATTATTTACTAAAATTGACATATCCTTTTCAACATTCACGATGTTTTATTTGTGGCAATTTAATTTATTATTGTTAATATTTATGAAATTGATTTTAGTATTGTATATTCACAGTATAACATGGCATTAATAATTATGTAAGCATTTGCCACCTAAGTCAGTAATCTGCATAGGCATGAGTGTAATACCCAGGTCTGTTATTGAAGTTGAGCATTCTTGCTTGTTTTGAAGGAAAAATTCATGCAACAAGCTAGACTGCATTCGAAATATGTGGGGTTATCTTTTAGGAGGGAAGTGTTAAAGATCCTCTCTAGCGCACCAAAATTCTGTAGTTGTGAGGATTATAGAGGGTTATACTCTAATATGTCTCCGCAGGTTGAGCACCCTTTTGTGGCCGAAACCTGAACTTGCGCAAAGATATATTTTCTTTTCTTTTCTCCCTTAAATCTGGATTTCAACTTGATAGTTTCTTCTATATGAATATAAAATTAAGTCGCATTACCTGCTTGCATCATGTATGTTAGTTATTTATGTGATTTATCATAGTTACCCTTTTGCAATTTCAGATTTTCTTTCACGGTCATTTTAAAACAAAACCTCAACTTGTTAATGGCATTCAACTCGTTCGTAATAATTGTAATTTCTTGTGTACATGTACTTTGCAGTTAAATGGCAAGGGGGCGAGATGATTGGCAGCAAGGTAAGGACATCCTGTCCCCGTATGGATTACTTAAAGGAAAAGTGCATCATATAGATTATATAGAATACTTTAGCTGTAAGCTAAATTCTGATTTGAGCAATCTAGTGTCGGTGCCAATGACTGCATTTAGAGGCTAATGATGTGTCTTCCTTCTTCACCCTAATTAACAGTTCTTTTTCATGGCAGGCTGCATCAGAGTGGCTCTACATAGTTCCTTGGGGCATTCACAAACTTCTTAACTACATAGCGAAGAAATATCCCAATACACCGATATATATTACTGAGAATGGTAATTTTTCATGATTCACAGCAATGACTTCGCTGAGTTTTCTTCAACTTCTCTTGTTTTAGCCGAATATATAAACAAACTTTCCTGACAAATTCATGACATAGATTGTTTCTCTATAGAAGTGGAGTCAGCATTCTGCATTGACCCGAAATTATTTATTGAATTGATCGCGTATGTTTGAAACCTGAATGCATTTAGTTCTTAGTGGAAACTATGTTCTTCGTAGTATTCAGTTTAAAAAGGTTATTCACCTATTATTGAAACCAATAAGTAAGCCCGACTCTTAAGAGCATACTCACCATGGAGTATATTTTTTAATCCAGAAACTATTTGGTTCCTGATATGCCCCTTGAAAGCATTCAGTTTTTCGAGGAAATTATGTGTATTCAGTTTAAAAAGGTTATTATGCTATTATTGTTACCGATAAACTAGCCTTATCCTAAAGAGTATACTTACCATCGAGTACTTTCAACATTTGAAAAATATTTTAATCTGCATTCTTTTTAGTACCTGAAATGCCTCATATATATATAGTTGATCTTATGTCAACTTAAGTGGATGTCCACCAAACTTTTTAGCCACTCATTTATATATATATAAAAAACCTCTTCATATCTTTCATGGATCCCTAGGTAACATCAATGGCTAAAAAGTTTGGTGGACAACTTTTTGCTATCTACTTAAGTTGACACAAGTTTTGCTCTCTCTCTCTCTCTCTCTATATATATATATATATATGAGAAGTAGTTTCACATACTGTTATAGGCTAACAAGTTTAATAAGCACTACCAGAATGTCCAGAATACGCGTTTTACTTATAGCAGTTATAAAAGCTTGTTTTTAGTTCTTGACCATTGAAGACCAGGAGAATGTCCTATTAACTTCTGTTTCATGTTTGAATTTATCACAATCATCTAGAAGATAGAATTAGTGTTTTGATTTCCCTTGGTCAACTATCACTTAAACTGATCAACCCTTAAAATAAGTTGCTGTCAAATAACATTTCTGCACCATCATCTGTGCTTAAATATTGGTCTATAATGATATGGTTTTACTGGCCCAAAGAAGGTCCAGTGCATGCTATATTTGATAATAATGTCTCTCGTGTCTCTCAGGCATGGATGATGAGGACAATGAAGAAGCAACACTCGACGAGATGCTAAATGATGAGATGAGAGTGGGATATTTTAAGGGCTACCTTGCTTCTGTGGCTCAAGCAATCAAGTAAGTTATATTTGAAGGGATACCTTGCTTCTGAACGTATTATAAGGTCAATTGTTAAAGGTCAAAGATTTGATAAACCTTTTTTTGTTTTCCCTTTTATTTTTTGGTTGTACAAGGGATGGTGTTGATATCCGAGGATACTTTGCATGGTCATTGCTAGATAACTTTGAGTGGGCTCAAGGATACACCAAGAGGTTTGGCCTGGTTTACGTCGATTACAAGAATGGGCTAAAAAGACACCCCAAGTCATCGGCTCGCTGGTTTAGTCGTTTCTTGAAGGGCGGTAAGGACGATAACAGCAACAGTGCGTGATTTATGTTTGCTAAAACTGTGTTTTACTCTGTTATGTACTGTAAAGACCCTTGCAACTATGCCTTTATGTTCTGCTATTTGGTGACATGCAATGATCCATTAAAGCTACGATAAAGCCCGGAGAGAGATCTATAGCCTGCGGATTTGCGTCCATTAGATATGTGAAGCATTCATTCTTCAGTTCTCTAATACTCCCACAGGGTTCTGATGATATAAGCAGTTGTGGAAGCTTGTGATGAACAAAGTACCCCTTAAATTTTTTTGTTAAATCTAAGTTGTGATACTAAATTAGAGTACTTTTGAGATCAGGACGGAGAACCGTTGATGCAGTTTCCTCCAAAAAGGAAAAAAAATAAAAATTAGTTGCAATTAATTTTTGAATCTGTGCATAGCTGGTACAAATTATGAAGTGGGTGTCTGTTACATCTCTGAATGGGGTGACCGTGACGCTTCGTCTTGCATGTACAATTTGAGGCTTTAGAACAATTTATGGCACCATCATTTCGTCTCAAACGTATAGCCATGTACAATTATTGTCAAGTAATGTTGGTAATAATCATTAGTAGAGATTTTAATGTTATTTGTTATATATAGAAATATTAATCATTGATTTCTTCTTGTATAATAAAAACATAAATCGTTGGGGATGAAGGATAAAGGCCCAAAATAGCAATTTATTTAGGCAAACGCCCAACAGGAAGCTAATTCCCGCTCCAGCGACGAGTCACCAATGAGACATGCTGCACAAATTACGCGAGTATGTACTTCCTCTGCCCTCAAAATAAGCTCTCATATCTCAGTAATCTCGCATACGAAGCGCATGGATTGGGATCATAAAATTCTGGTCAAGCGCTCCTTTAACAAGAAAAGTCGGTGAATTTGGTCCGACATATTAATGGAGCTTCAAAGAAATATCGACTCTCGGGATCATCGGATTCGGTCGAAGTAGCCAGATCCTGAGATTTATCATCAGTAGTGGAGTCCAAAGATTAGTGAGGACATAATATTAATAGTAATGTAGGAGTTTCGTGTCACATATATACGGCCAATTTTGCCTCGAGTACTCGAACATGGCTGCGATCTGCGCATTTGCGAGCTCAAAGCTAAAAGAACGTGACCTTTCTTTGGCTACTGAAAAAGGTTATGTTAGAATTAATATAAAACTATAATCATTGATCCTCATCATAACTTCGGAGTTTTGATGTATTGGTTAGAGGAACTAAATTTAAGAGGTTATACGTGCGTCGCAGCCGATTCGGAATGTTCTACAACAACTGTTGCTCTAAGTTCTGCTTCTTTTTCTCCTGCGCCCTCTGGACACACCTTGTGTAAGATATTAACTTATTTGCTAAAAAATTTCTCCTTTGTAGTTAGGTTTAAATGAGAAGAAGAGAAGCCAATTGTGTAGTTCGTTCTCTTACTCAGTTTGGAATTAGATCTACATAATATCAAGTATAGATGTGTATTTTTAAAATTACGTACTTCATGATTTATTTGACATTTTTTAATAAATCACTATTCCATAATAAATAAATAAATAAAAATAAATCATTATATATTATTTTATGAATTAAAGTTGCACATAAGGATGGGCGTGGGCTAGGCCGGGCCTGACCTGGGCCCGGCCGGGTTAAAATGGGTCAGGTCTATTTCTCTGATTCCGGGTCTGGGATTGGTGCGAGCCGGGTCTGACCCGACCCGCGGCCTGTGGGTCATGGGCCGGCCCATAGGTTTTTCATCCAAACTTTTTCCTACTTTTTTATATTTTTAATTACATTAAGCTCGTATTTACTATTATAGAATTATCTCTAATTTATTTTTAGTAATTTAAATTTTTATTAAACAATTTTTAAACAATTATTAAACTTTTTAATCCATCTAGGTTGACAGCAGCAAGCTTAAAGATTGTTGTTTTATTTCTCAGTGGGTCAAAAGGCCCATGAGCCAAAAACCTATGATCTTTTGGTTTTGTTGGCAGCTAGTTTCAGACCCAAAAGGTTAAATGAACAATCAGTTGCAGACTCAAAAGACTAAAAGAATAACTAGCCCAACCAAAAAATATATTACGGGCCGGGGCGGGTCGGGCCGGGACGGGTTGGGCGTCGGCCGGGCTTATTTCTCTGGTTCCAAGTCTGGGGCTAGACTCAGTCCGACCTGTGACCCGGATATATCATGGGTCGGGTCATGCCCAGCCCACTACGGGCTGGATCGTGACCCATGATAGGCTGAGCTGGGTCAGCCCGCATGCCGACCCAGCCCACGCCCTAACCCTAGCATAGAGAGAGAGCTTTAAAAAAATTCATTTCCATACATTCTGCGATACCCCAATTCATTAACAATTTGCTTCTACTCACGCTGAATACGTGAAAGATGATCATATAATAAAAGAAGAAATTTTTGAAATAAACTCATTCAAAATTTTAATCTCAAAAATCAAACATAGCTAAACTTATTTATCAAAATCAACCCACTTTCTCGCAATATCAGCTTTGTGACCAAAAAATGGGTCGTTTTAAAAAAAACGCGGTCTTAATTAGTCGGGGTTGCCAACCCCGACTAATTAGGACCTCGCTCGCTACCCTCTCATGGTTATGCCACTAAATATTGCACAAAATGGTTGGGATTTCCAACCCCGACAATTTCGAAGTGCCAAGTCGAAATGGTCGGGGTTCCCAACCCTGACCATTTACCAGAGCCTGGGCCGCCCCCACACAAAAATGATCAGGGTTCCCAACCCCGACCGTTTGGCAGAGACCCTCCAGTCCACACTTTGCTGGAAAATCCCATCTCCTGCTAACATATATCAATCTACAAGTTTAACACCAACTCTCTTGCTACACATTTATTAATCCATAATCAATTTTAAACAAAAATAAACACATATATTTATATAATTATTACATCTATAACAAATCTTTAACAAAAACATAACATTTAATTCACTTACTAAAAATCCAACAATAATCAAGTCACAATAGTATTTCAAACATAAACATCGTATAAAGTACATCAAAATTTAACAAATATTTAGAACTCTCTTTCCTCTCCCTCTCACTCTGCTTCTTCTTCCTCTCTCCCTTCCCTGTTCACCTTCAACATGAGCTCGAATGATCTCAACGTCCGGTTGTGTGTGAACTTGTGAGCGTATGACATCCTCGTCGACTTGAACCTGTTGTGAACATCCGGCTTGAGCTTGCTATGAGCCTCCAGCTTCATCATGTGCATGACTTGAGCCTGCTCTCGTGTGTCCTCGAACTCATCGACGCTCGTACCCTATGAGTCATTCCTCACGTCCATCACGATTCGCATTATGCGTCCTTCTAAGAGCGGATTGAATCTTTCCAATAATGCAAACAAATGCGTTCCTCGTCCCTAGCTTGGTAGTCGTTCTCAATGCATCATGTGCAATAGAAGCAACCTCATCGAGTTCTTGTACCTATAAGATAAAAAGCAAAAGAGAATTATTAGCAAGTGGATGGTAATAAAATAATAATCACAAAATAACTGTATATTTTGCTCATACACTTACCAACTCTCTCTCAACTAGACCTCTCGATATGTACTCCTTAGGTACTTTGTTCTTTCAAAATATCCATCGGTGAGTAATCCCCCAATACCACCGTAAGTACATATCTAGTTCTGGTCTGTCAGCCCTCTCCATCGCTACATCATCTTCTTTCAACTCTCAATTCTCATTGTAAGCATGACAAATTATCTCATAATTTGCATGATGTGCTCCTTTTCGGGGATTTCGCTCTATTCTTTCTACATGATCTGAAATATGTTATTTTAATCCAAATTGTCAGAGAACACGGTCAGGCATGTGTATTTTGACAATCTCAAAGCATATAATCGGTACTCGATCACGCCATATATATTCACCTTCTCTGCAAATACCTGGTAGTGAAGCTAAAACCAGTTCATAAGGCATCCACTTGACCTATAAAGAAAATTATGTCAATGGACCCGCCTCCATACTATAAATATCTGCACATATGAACATAAAATATGTCAGTATTATGACGTATGGTAAATTAGAATTAGAAGTAAATTATATAATTTATATATATGCATTGACTTACAAAGAAAGTAGAATAAAATTACAAATTAAATAAATTGTACCCATTAATTGCTATCTATTTGGATTGGTAGGACAATGAGATCTATTATAGCCTGATTGTCTACAATATCCATACCTTTTTTTGAGCTCCTTCCCGTCCTTCATCCATCGTACCTTTTATGCGTACTGATCGCGGACATCCAGCTTGTCTCTTATATTCAGAAGGTAATACATGCGGCCCGTTATAGGGTGGCCAGTAACGACTATCTACAATGGGATGGAAACGCTGCTTATATGAATCTTTATAGTGGCTTGATTGATATCACTCAGAAGCGTATGTGTAATACGAAGTATTTGTACCCCCAAATTATTTAGACGCAACCGCTATAACATATGAACATGGCAAATTTTGCAATTGTGGTATGTTACAAGTGCATGCGCATTGTGTCATTCGTAAATTGATGGTATAAATATGACCGTGTTTATCTATAACTTTCCATTTATCTATAGCAAATCTAACAATCTTCGTTAATCTTGCCTGCATGACACGAAACCCTACAATCTCTTCATTTTTTGGTGATAAATACGTCACCCACTTTGCTCCATCCTCTCTCTTGACAAAATAGCGATTGAGTCTATAAAATATTGTAAACCCCTGTAATACTGAATATTATGAGATATAATAATAAACATGTTATATTGTGATAAATAACATTTATTGATATTTGAGTATGCTAGGAATTGATTTGAGATCAATTCAATACATATATATGAATATATGAGTGCAAATGCACAAAACATGCACGAGAAAAAATCTGGGAAAAATAACCAGTTAAGAGTTTATAGATTTTACACAATGATGCACTTAGAATCTGGGAAAACTAAAAACACCAAAGTTGTAGGTCTTTTCAACAGCTTTCTAACAAATCTTATATCACCTCATTCTGAGGTCAGATGCAAAAGTTATTACCAAAATACCAAAGGTTATTTTCCTAGTCAGACTAGGTTTCCTGGTTCGGGTCAAACGGGTTTATTTCGGGTTTGCATATATATATATATACCTAGCCCTAAAGTTGAGAATTTTGAGAGCTTTGTGAAGCAAATATCGACACAAGGGCGAGATCATCGACGTGTAGCAAGGAGAAAACGGGTTGTTTGCACTTCCAATTACTTGCTGTTTATTTCAGAGGCTTAGAACAACATTTGAGGTAAGATTATCTTTATCCAAACCTATCCTCATAGTTAAATAACTAGTTTAGATGATTAATATAATGTTAAATATGTGTTCATGCTTTAATCTTAACCTGAGGTGTTAAAAGTCAGATTTTT